GACATTGTAGAAAGCAACAATGCTACACCTCTTGTTTCGTGGTTATTTTATCCCTGGTTTAGAAAATTTATCACCTTAATTTTAAGGTTGAAAATACTGCAACCCTATTCTACTCATACAAATGTTCTTTGAGGGAACATAAAAGGTAATATTGACTTTAAATGTGTTAAATGTGCACATTTGAGAAGTCATTAGTCTTCACTTGTCACCCATTATTTTGTACAAAATCCCCTCACACTGCTTCCTGACACTGCCTCATTGTCTCACTCCCCCACTCCTCTTCTCGCAATTCCCACCAAAAGCCCAATAACCCACTACAAACCCCTCAATAAATGTTTAAACTGAACTTCGGTTGCTGCGTCATTATTTGCTAATTTCTTTAAAGATATCACCTGGAATCAGTCATCATTAAGGATATATCACACAGTCACATAATATTTTCAAAGATAATGTACGAAGGTGTAAGGATTTTCAGGGTGTATCTTAGAGTCATTCAGTGCAGTTCAAACAAGTGATTTTGCAGAACACTGCAACAAAATAAAAAAGTAAAAGCGGCCAGGACTCAGAAATGCAATTGTGCTGTTTATAATTTGTCTCTGTTCATGTACTTCTTCACACAGAGGAATGCTCCACAATATCTGATGCTTTGTGGATGTTGTGCTGACCTGATTCTACAAGCATCACTCCCACTCATGATACCCAAGCAGACTGGACTAGCTACTTCTCCCAAAAAGTCACTGAGTTGCTCCACTCTAAAAGTACATGATGTGTGACGTCATCACACATCGCTGTTTGTTTACATGATGCGCAGCAGAGCTAATGCTTGAAGTGGAGAAAATAAGTCCAGCGGCATGAAATACTTATTAAATAGTGAGGCTGATATGAGTCCTGGTGCGATACGCGCTCCTCTGTGAGTTCATGGACATAATAACAGAGCGGGGGAGTGAGCTGGAGATGAGACTGCAAAACTTTTGCTGTTGTCCACAGTTCTTATTGAAGTTAAGCGCAGATTCACTTTGTGTTTTAGAGTGGACTTTATTCATTAGTTTCACCCTGGTTTTAGTCGTGGTTTAGAACTGCTTTTAGTCCTGGTCTAGTTCTGGTTTTAGTTCTGGTTTAAAGGTGCGGCCCGCGCTGCGCACTGGAGGAGGAGTGGCCCACGCAACGTATGTGAGAAGACATGGTCCACGTGGTGTACGGGAGGAGGCGCAGTCCACACGGCAAATACAAGGCAAAAAAGGTGACGCTCCAGACTATGAGTTGGTTGGCAAAATGGTGACATAAAAAGTGTCAGAATGGGGGTATGTTGGAATGGAGGGTTGTCGGAATGTCTGGGTAGGGGTCTGTCGGAGTGGCGGTATGTCAGTATAAGGGTTGTACCCAGGAAAATCCAGAATTATATTTATTTGATATTTGCCTTAATTTTTTTTATAATCTAAGGCTCAAACATAGCTCTGCAATCAGATTTGTTTGTTCACTGACTTTAGATTAACAGCGTTTAGTACTTGTCTTGTTAATTTTGCATAAATTTATATAGACAAAATTTTGCAAACTTCAGGAAAGCCCAATGGACTCACACAGGAATTAGTGCTGTAGTTGGGAGGGTTTGGGATGAAACCAAAGACTATATATATATACATCATACACTCATGAATTTCAGAATAGAGGAGTGCTGAATCATCCTGCCTCTGCAACCATGGAGACAACTGAACTGTGCTTCCCAGAACTTCACAACATCTCATGCAGAAAGCCTCAGCCTGATTCATCAGATGTGCTGCTGTCGTACAACCTGCTCTGTCTAATATCTCTGCTCACAGTGACAATGAATCTACTGGTCATCATCTCTATTGCACATTTCAGGCAAAGCATTGTCCATTATCGGATAGGAAACTTTAAGTAGCTTTGTAATTTGAAAATGCTCTTTTTTTCAGGCAACTTCACAGTCCTACCAACCTGCTAATCCTCTCTCTGGCTGTGTCAGATTTCTTGGTGGGTCTTTTGCTGCTTCCAGTTGAAATCTTTCTAACAGAGGCCTGCTGGTTCTTGGGAAGTACACTCTGTGCTTTGTATTATATGACAGACTTCACTGTAACGGCATCCTCAATTGGTAATATTGTGCTTATTTCAATTGATCGGTATTTAGCCATTTGTGATCCATTACATTACAATACCAAAGTGACAATTAACAGGGTTAGGTTCTGTATTTGTGCTTGTTGGCTTTGTGCTCTCATGTACAATAGTCTGATTTTAAAGGATTTTCTTATAGATCCTTATTCACAAAGTTCATGTTATGGAGAGTGTGTGGTAGTGCTCAACAACATTACTGGAAATGTTGATTTAATTTGTACCTTTATCGGCCCCATCACTGTCGTTGTGGTTCTGTATGTGAGGATTTTTATGGTGGTAGTCTCTCAAGCTCGTTCAATGCAGTCTAAAGTGGTGACTTTGCAGCAAACTGTAACATCAGCTACAAAATCAGAGATAAAAGCAGCCAGGACACTTGGAATAGTTATTTTTGTGTTTATAGTGTGCCTATGTCCCTATTACAGTCCATTCTTCACTGGGGAGGACATTGTAGAAAGCAGCACCACCACATCTCTGGTTACCTGGTTATGGTTCATTAACTCCTGTATAAACCCCTTTGTCTATGCGTTATTTTATCCTTGGTTTAGAAAATCCATCAACCTAATTGTAACACTGCGAATACTGCAGCCCCATTCTACTCTTGCAAATGTTCTCTGAGTTAAAATAAAAGTTAGTGTTGATTTTGTGTAATGTGTTGAATGTGAGTTTTTGAGAAGTCACAACCCAGTATTTTTGTGTTCATGTTTTTTAATAACATGTTTAAAAAAGATAATGGCTGGAGAGACTGGAGGATGTATAGAAATTTAATTGTTCGTTGTTTGTAATTTGTCTATGTTCATGTACACAGAGGAAAATCTCCACATTATCTGTCATTTTGTGGCTATTGTATAATTCTTGTCTAAACCCCTTCTCTTTGTTTTTTTCTGATTGATACAGTGAAAATTGTGAGCCATTCTATACATTTTACAGTTAAATCTGATGCAATTTTATTTATGAGGTTTGTATAGTTGTCCAAGTATAGAACGCTGACATGTTTTTCATATCCATAAGCAATAACATTTTCTGAAATTGTATTGATTTTAAACCTAAAAGCAGCCAGGACACTTGGAATAGTTATTTTTAGTATTAATAGTGTGCCTATTCCCCTATTACATTCCATCCTTTACTGGGAAGGACATTGTAGAAAGCAACAATGCTACACCTCTTGTTTCGTGGTTATTTTATCCCTGGTTTAGAAAATTTATCACCTTAATTTTAAGGTTGAAAATACTGCAACCCTATTCTACTCATACAAATGTTCTTTGAGGGAACATAAAAGGTAATATTGACTTTAAATGTGTTAAATGTGCACATTTGAGAAGTCATTAGTCTTCACTTGTCACCCATTATTTTGTACAAAATCCCCTCACACTGCTTCCTGACACTGCCTCATTGTCTCACTCCCCCACTCCTCTTCTCGCAATTCCCACCAAAAGCCCAATAACCCACTACAAACCCCTCAATAAATGTTTAAACTGAACTTCGGTTGCTGCGTCATTATTTGCTAATTTCTTTAAAGATATCACCTGGAATCAGTCATCATTAAGGATATATCACACAGTCACATAATATTTTCAAAGATAATGTACGAAGGTGTGAGGATTTTCAGGGTGTATCTTAGAGTCATTCAGTGCAGTTCAAACAAGTGATTTTGCAGAACACTGCAACAAAATAAAAAAAGTAAAAGCGGCCAGGACTCAGAAATGCAATTGTGCTGTTTATAATTTGTCTCTGTTCATGTACTTCTTCACACAGAGGAATGCTCCACAATATCTGATGCTTTGTGGATGTTGTGCTGACCTGATTCTACAAGCATCACTCCCACTCATGATACCCAAGCAGACTGGACTAGCTACTTCTCCCAAAAAGTCACTGAGTGCATATACATGCACATCAGTATCCCGGTTATGATCGGGTTTTTTGAGTATCCCAGTTTCTTCATGGTGCATGTGCATGTATACGCAGTACCCCGGTTTCAGTATCCCGGTTATGGCAGTATCCCGGTTATTAGAAACCAGGTTACTGTAGCTGATCTATTCTGACAGTAACCGGGATACTGTGGCATGTATACGCAGTATCCCGATTACTGCAACATAAAGTTGAGTGCGCATGCGTCCAAAAGACACTTTCCAGTCTTTTCACCACAACAGTAGCATAAATAAATTGACCAACATAAATAAAGTGACCACACGAGTGAAATGACTGTAAAATTAAGAGCTGCGCTAAATCTGCACATGTACAATCTGCACTCGTATGACCTGCACTCGTGTGATCGCTGAAAAGCTAAAACATGAACTATCTCCTATACTGTATATGTACAGAACAGACTTACCATCATTAGCACCTCTTCTGTCACAAAAAGAACACACATAATCCACAGAGTCGTGTCATTTAGTCCAAAAGAAGCTGATCGCATCAGCGGCACAAGGAGCGAACTGTTTTTATCACCGTTAACAGTTTATGCTAATTAGCGATGCGGTCTTAAGTTTCTTATGCTAAAGGAACTCACAGTTTGTATTTTTCCTGGTTTATGAAATGGATTTAAGTCAATTTTTGTGCTTGCGCATTTGTAAGATTATGTCAAGAAACCGGGATACTCTATTTGATCATGTATACGGGGATATGAGTATCCCGGGTTCTCAGTGCGCATGTATACGCAGTATATACTGACATAACTGGGATATGGCTAATAACCGGGATTCTGATGTGCATGTATACGCACTCACTGAGTTGCTCCACTCTAAAAGTACGTGATTTGTGACGTCATCACACATCGCTGTTTGTTTATGTAAGGGAGTGACCACTAGGTGGTGCTCCTGTATTTTGTTTACTTGTCGAGACCGCAGTTACTGTTTTTTTTTTGTTGGTTTTGGCCCATGTCCAAGTGCGGCCACCGTAGCGACAGCGCGAAGAGGCTGCGCAGGCGCCTCTCGGCCTCTTCTCTCTGCCCTTACTCCGTAAGGTAGGCACTGTCAATCGCAGTTATTCAGATCTATCAACGTCTTTGTTGATATTTGCCATCTTCATGTTAATTGCACCAAATAGGTTAAGGAAAATGTTTTACTTATTATTGGTCCTGTTCTGAATGACCAGCACATTGGTTTGTTAATTTTATGGCACTTGATTTTACGCTAGCAGTGGGGAGCAGTCAGAGTCCGTTGATGCGTTGCGTAGTGTGTTGTAGCCTATTGTAGTGACCATTTACTAAAAAATAGTTTTTTTTTGTTTTATGATATTGTATTATTATTATTATTGTTGTACACTGTGTGTGAACAGGAAATTTATAATTGGTAATTGTATTGTTGTAGTAAATGACTAATTAGCGCTCTTCTCTCTGCCCTTACTCCGTAAGGTCCCATGAGCCAAGCAACTGTACGAGACACCTGTTATCGCTATTGGAACTCATCAAATAAATACACTGGCTGCCCCGCATTCCACAATCAAAAAGAACCGCTGTGTCTGTTGTGGTCCTTCTCCCTGCACCACACCTAGCCGCTCTTACATCACCAAACACAACGCAGGGTCCTGAAGCTGGGTGCGCTGAGACAACTGGGACCACATATAGCCTGTCAGTTCGTGAGGGTTACATTTACATGATGAGCTAATGCAGAGCTAATGCTTTTAGTGAAGAAAATAAATCCAGCGGCATGAAATACTTATTAAATAGTGAGGCTGATATGAGTCCTGGTGCGATACACGCTCCTCCGTGAGTTCATGGACATAATAACAGAGCGAGGGAGTGAAGCTGGAGACGAGGCTGCAAAACTTTTGCTGTTGTCCACAGTTCTTATTGAAGTTAAGTGCAGATTCACTTTGTATTTTAGAGTGGACTTTATTCATCAGGTTTAGACCTGATTTTAGTCCTGGTGTACACCTGATTTGGATCTGGTTTTAGTCCTGGTTTAGACTTGGTTTAGACCTGGTTTTATTCCTGGTTTAGTTCTGGTTTTAGTCCTCGTCCAGTTCTGGTTTTAGTCCTGGTTTAGAGGTACGCCCCATGCGGCAAAAAAGGTGATGCTCTGAACTATGAGTAGGTTGGCAGAATGGCGACATAAAAAGTGTTGGAATGGCGGCATTAAAAAGTGTTGGAATGGGGGCATTAAAAAGTGTTGGAATGGGGGCATGTTGGAATGGAGGGTTGTCGGAATGGGTAGGGGTCTGTCGGAGTGGCGGTGTGTCAGTATAAGGGTTGTACCCTGGAAAATCCAGAATTATATTTATTTGATATTTACCTTTATTTTTTGTAATGTGAGACTCAGACATGGCTCTGCAAGCAGATTTGTTTGTTCTCTCACTTTAGATTAACAGCGTTTAGTACTTGTCTTGTTAATTTTGCATAAGTTTTTATAGACAAAATTTTGCAAACTTCAGGGACCCCTATGGACTCACACAGGAATTAGTGCTGTAGTTGGGAGGGTTTGGGATGAACCCACAGACTATATATATATATACATCAAACACTCTTGAATTTCTGAATAGACAAGTGCTGAATCGACCTGCCTCTGCAACCATGGAGACGACAGAACTGTGCTTCCCAGAGTTTCACAACATCTCATGCAGAAAGCCCCAGCCTTCTCCATCAGATGCACTGCTGTCTTACAGCTTGATCTCGCTGATATCAGTGCTGACAGTGACAATGAACCTTCTAGTCATCATCTCCATCCTGCACTTCAGGCAAAGCATGGCTCTTGTTCGAATCTTGTAGTTTAACTAGCTCTGTAATTTGAAAATGCTCTTTTTTCAGGCAGCTTCACAGTCCTACCAACCTACTAATCCTCTCGCTGGCTGTGTCAGATTTCCTGGTTGGTCTTTTGCCGATTCCAGTTCAAATCCTCCTAACAGAAACCTGCTGGCTCCTGGGAAGTGTTCTCTGTGCTTTGTACAATTTAACAGTCTTTACCATAACGGCATCTGCAGTTGGTTCTATTGTGCTCATTTCAATTGATCGCTATTTAGCAATTTGTGATCCATTACACTACAGTACCAAGGTGACATTAAACAGGGTTAAGTTCTGTGTTTGTGCTTGTTGGCTCTGTGCTCTCTTCTACTGTTGTCTGATTTTAAAGGATTTTCTCATTGACCCTGATGCACACAGTTCATGTTATGGAGAGTGTGTGGTAGTGCTCAACAATATTACTGGAAATGTTGATTTTGTGTTTACCTTTATTGGCCCTATCACTGTCGTTGTGGTTCTGTATGTGAGGATTTTCATGGTGGTAGTTTCCCAAGCTCGTTCAATGCAGTCTAAAGTAGTGACTTTACAGCAAACTGTGACTATATCGGCTAGAAAATCAGAGCTAAAAGCAGCCAGGACACTTGGAATAGTTATTTTAGTTTTCATAGTGTGCCTATGTCCATTTTACCTTCCATCCTTCGCTGGGGAGCACATTGTAGACAGCAGCCTCTCTACACGTCTTGCTACTTGGGCATGGTTGTTTAACTCTTGTGTAAACCCGTTTGTCTATGCCTTTTTCTATCCCTGGTTTAGGAAATCTATAAAACTAATTGTAACATTTCAAATACTGCAAACCCATTCTACTCATGCAAATGTTCTTTGAGGTGAAATAAATGTTACTGTTGACTTGTAAAGTGGGTTGAATGTACACATTTGAGAAGTCACAATTCAGTATTTTATATTCATATATTTTAATAACACATTAAAAAAAGATAATAAAACGAGAGTCTAAGGAGAACAAGGGCAGAATGAGAACATAATCAGCAACATTTAGAAGAATTTTTTGTCAGTCTTTATCATCTCTATCCCTGTCTGAATCTATATGTGACTTTTCAGGATCATTCATTTCAGTCTAAATTATTTTGCAACACACTTTGACTCAGTGAGAAAATTTTAAATAAAAGCAGCCAAGATTTGGAAATATTATTATGATATTTATAATTAGTCCGTGTTCATGTGTTTCTTCACACAGGAATCTCCACATATTCTATGGTTCTGTGAACGTTCTGTGATGTTTTGGCTCTGTTGCCGTGTTCCACTTTTCTGGACTTTCCACGTCCCTGGGCTCTGCACATTTGAGTTTGTCTTTTTGATTTACACACAACACTCATATTGCACATACACTGCTGTCACTCCATACACACAACACTAAACCACTGATAATTTATAGGCTCTAACCCCATGGCTTCTGTTTTGTAAAAGTTATTCTCTATGAATGTTAATTTTGTAATTAAACCCTTCTTTTTGAGCATATAAAAATTCAGTCTTGTCTCCTATCTTGTTTTGTTCATTGGCTAGACGTAACGAGTCACTGACCAAAACTGAGATGAAGCCTAATGTTAGACAATACACAACACTTTCTTTAAAGTAGGGGTCTTCAACATTTTTCAGGCCAGGGAATCCCAAACTGATGGAGAGCTGGAGCAGGGACCCCCTACTATATATATGGCACACAATTGTGTTTTATATTAAACTGGTCCTAGTGTCATTTATGAAGACAGCTACTTTGTTATTGCACATTCATTACTTCATGGATCATATCATTTGAGTATGTTTCCTTCAAAATGGAGCTAAAACAATCACCGTCCATACTCTACATAGTCATATACAAACCTCCTCAGCACTGTCAAAGTTTTATTGATGATTTTACTGAGATGCTTTCAGTTGTATGCACAGACTTTGATGGTTTAGTCATTACAGGTGATTTTAATGTACATGTGGATAATGTGTGTGACAAAAATGCCAAAGAGCTTAGTGTTGTCCTTGAAACATTTGGTCTCACTCAGCATGTCAGTGAGCCCACTCACAACAGAGGGCACACTCTGGACCTGCTCATCACAGTGTAAATATTTCAAATGTCAATGTGGTTGATGTTGCTCTGTCTGATCATTTCTGTGTCTTCTTTGACCTGTTTGTTATTCCCCAACCACCGGCTGCTCCTACAGTTGTTCGAAGAAGACACATAAATGATAACACAGGTGCACTGTTCATGGAAATGATACATTTTGAAATTGCCTCATGTTCTAATGTTGATGATGTGTTGAACTCTGTGACTTTGAGTGTTTTGAATGTTCTGGATGCCATCGCCCCAATAAAGGCTAAAATGGTTAAAGAGGCAAAAAGCTCCATGGAGGAATGATGACTCAGTCAGAGCACAGAAAAGGGAGTGCCGGAAGGCTGAGTGGAAATGGCGCAAGTCAAACCTCCAGGTTCATTATGAGATTTACAGAAGAAAAATGCATATGTACAACTACACTTTGAGTAAAACAAGAGAGAAGTATTTTTTGGACATTATTGGTAATTACAGTAACAGGAAGGAATACTTTGAGGATCTCCTCAATCCCACCGTCACGTCCTCCGAGGAGGAGGCCGAGGCTGGGGACTCGGAGGCGGACTCATCCATCACCCTGGCCGAAGTCACTGAGGTGGTTGGCAAGCTCCTTGGTGGCAAGGCTCCGGGGTTGGATGAGATCCGTCCTGAGTACCTGAAGTCTCTGGATGTTGTGGGGCTGTCTTGGCTGACACGCCTCTTCAACATCGCGTGGCGGTCGGGGACAGTACCTCTGGACTGGCAAACCGGGGTGGTGGTCCCTCTGTATAAGAAGGGGGACCGGAGGGTGTGTTCCAACTATAGGGGGATCACACTTCTCAGCCTTCCCGGTAAGGTCTATGCCAGGGTACTGGAGAGGAGAATCCGGCCGATAGTCGAACCTCAGATTCAGGAGGAGCAGTGTGGTTTTCGTCCTGGCCGTGGAACACTGGACCAGCTCTACACTCTCCATAGGGTGCTCGAGGGTTCATGGGAGTTTGCCCAACCAGTCCACATGTGTTTTGTGGATCTGGAGAAGGCATTTGACCGTGTCCCTCGTGGTGTCCTGTGGGGGTGCTCTGGGAGTATGGGGTCCGGGGCCCTTTGCTAAGGGCTGTCCGGTCCCTGTATGACCGGAGCAGGAGCTGTGTTCAGCATTGCCGGCAGTAAGTCAGACCTGTTCCCGGTGCATGTTGGACTCCGCCAGGGCTGCCCTTTGTCACCGGTTCTGTTCATTGTATTTATGGACAGAATTTCTAGGCGCAGTGAGGGGCCGGAGGGGATCCGGTTCGGGAACCACAGGATCTCATCTCTGCTGTTTGCGGACGATGTTGTTCTGTTGGCTTCATCGAGCCAGGACCTGCAGTGTGCACTGGGGCGGTTTGCAGCCGAGTGTGAAGCGGCTGGGATGAAGATCAGCTCTTCCAAGTCCGAGGCCATGGTTCTCGACCGGAAAAAGGTGGCTTGCCCTCTCCGAGTGGGTGGGGAGTCTTTGCCTCAAGTGGAGGAGTTCAAGTATCTCGGGGTCTTGTTCACGAGTGAGGGAAGGACGGAACGTGAGAGTGACAGGCGGATCGGTGCAGCTTCGGCAGTGATGCGGTCGCTGTATCGGACCGTTGTGGTGAAGAGGGAGCTGAGTCGAAAGGCGAAGCTCTCGATTTACCGGTCAGTCTTCGTTCCTACTCTCACCTATGGTCATGAGCTCTGGGTAGTGACCGAAAGGACGAGATCGCGGATACAACCGCTCGAAATGAGTTTCCTCCGCAGGGTGGCTGGGCGCTCCCTTAGAGATAGGGTGAGGAGCTCAGTCACACGGGAGGAGCTCGGAGTAGAGCCGCTGCTCCTCCACGTCGAGAGGAGCCAGTTGAGGTGGCTCGGGCATCTGTTCCGGATGCCTCCTGGGCGCCTCCCTCGGGAGGTGTTCCGGGCATGTCCCGCCGGGAGGAGGCCCCGGGGAAGACCCAGGACACGCTGGAGGGACTATGTCTCTCAGCTGGCCTGGGAACGCCTCGGGGTCCCCCCGGAGGAGCTGGAGGACGTGTCTGGGGTGAAGGAAGTCTGGGAGTCCCTGCTTAGGCTGCTCCCCCCGCGACCCGGCCCCGGATAAGCGGACGAAAATGGATGGATGGATGGATGGATGGACAGTAACAACTCTCATGTCCTGTTTGCAACAGTGAACAGACAAACCCTCCAGCTCTACTGCCACTAGAACTGATTTCCACATCTAAATGTAATGAGTTTTCAGTTTTCTTTAATGACAAAGTTCAGGGCATCAAAAATGCCATCAATTCCACAACACAAATAACAAGCATGCAGCCACAGAGACACTTAGAGCTGAGTCACTTTGCACCTGTAACTGACAAAACTGTTTTAGAGATCGTTACTAGTCTGAGTTCATCTTCTTGCTGCCTGGACATGTTACCCACTAGATTTCTAAAGTCCGTCCTCAACACTTTAATTTCACCACTTGCTCACATAGTTAATATGTCACTTCAATCTGGAACATTCCCAAACGCGTTGAAAACTGTGGTCATTAAGCCTCTCCTAAAGAAGAGCAGTCTTGATGCCACAGTACTGAACAATTTCCGACCCATCTCAAATCTGCTGTTTTTTAGCAAAGTCCTTGAAAAAGCTGTTTATCAACAGCTTACGAACTTTCTCCAAATGAACAACTCCTTTGATGTTTTCCACTTAGGTTTTAGAGCCCACCACAGCACTGAGACTGCTCTTATCAAAATGACAAATGACATCTGCCTGAACACTGATGCAGGCAAAGTCTCACCCCCTGTTCACACCAAAGCGCAATGGCGCGTAAGCGCAGCAGCACAGCACACGAGCAGCAGACGCTGAGCTTTAGAACTCCATTTTAACTGGTCTGACGGTTCACACCGACAGTGTCATACGCGCGTCCAACGAGCGTCTGACGCTGACGCGCTGCTCGAGATAGGTTGGAGTTCTAATTTTGCAGCGTCAACTGTGCGTCTCCAAGGTTTTTAGCAGGGGAAAGACAGGAAATAAACACGCGATGTCAAAATAAACTTCCAATGCCCTTTCAAAATAACTTAACCAAAGTCAAGATAATGACGTAAACAACGCGCACTGCATCCAAGGAAAGGTTAATGATGGACGACGAAAAGTTAATCCTCGAAGTGGAGAAATATATTGTTATTTACAATGTCAGACACCAATTCTACAAGGACCAATTAAGAAAGGAGAAGGCATGGCGTGCAATTGCCGAAACTTTGGGTTATGACGGTAAGTAATTAATGCATACAAGCACGAAAAGTGTCATCCACCTTGCCAACTTTTGTATTGTTTTACGTGGTGTTGTAGTCAAAACTGCTCTAACATGTAATATTTAAGTAATGCAATAAAGAAACTTTTTGTCACTGCTGTGTACTATCAAGATATAAACGTATAGGCCTTATTACCTATACGTACATAAGGTTTTAATCACACTCGTTATGAATGCTATGTGAACCATTAATTATAGGTGAATTTACCAAAAAATGTGTGTTTTATGTGCGTGTTAATAGATTTAAACCTCATTAAACCACAAATACAAAGATGAAGTAGAAATGTAGCAAACTTTATTTACAATATTTACAATAAAATCAGTGAAGCATAAGGACATTATTAGACCATTCTATCTTGCCATGACACACTGCCTTAGGGGGAGTTAAAATACCCACAGTACATTTCCCTCACACCAAAGGCTTCACGGGATGCCCTGTTCCCAGCCATATTCCTGATGCCCCTCATCCTCCCCACTTGCTCATCCAGCAGTCTTTGGT